TAGGGAACTGCACCTTTCCTTTTTGCACCCAGTATAGATCCTGACGTGCATTGGTTGTGTTCAGGTTGATCTTGGAGGAGTTCGGAGTGCATCTGCCTTCAGAGCATGATATAAAACTCACCTCTTTGTATAAGCCTTCCTATATTATTCACATATAAGGAATAGGTCATAAACATTTAGTTTAAAATAGAAAGCAGAAGCAGTGAGCCAACAAGAACTAAGAGAGAAGAGCCTACTGAGGACAGATACAAGCCTAAATTACCAGGGACCAGACTCTGAGATTTCTCTCCCCTCCAGTGGCTGCCAGTAAACTCTCAACAATTGCCAAGATTCAACAATCTGTTTTTGATAGTTGCTCACTTTAATGATGAAAATGCCCTAATAATGATAGCCTGAGAGTGAGAGCAAATATGCTGAAAGTGTTGCTGCTGCTAAAAAAGCAAACAGATACGTTCAGTGGACATACAAGTAATCCGATGTTTAAAGACACCTACGAAGTGATTCTGTACACTTGAAATAAAAATAAATAAATAAATAAATGAGTCCCCTTCATCATTCCCTCTTCTCCATATTATTTCCCTCTCTCTCCCTCTCTCAGAATAAACTATTTCTCACTTTGGATCAAGCTCTGCTATCCTAAGCCAGGCAATCAGCACTTCTGCCCTCATTGCTGTGATGGATTTGTTCAGTGCCAGTATAATGATGCGATTCTCTCTCTTTTTTTTCTGGCACTCTGAGACCTGGCTCTTGCTGTCTGTGCTCTTGCTGTAGTTGTAGTAGAGTGTCTCAGCAGGATCGACCTTGCCAATCACTGCAGTAGCATTTGTTCTATGTGCTATGTGTATATACACTGCATCCTGTAGGCTTTGCTCTGATTTAGGTTTGAATTCCAGCACGGGATGCACACAAGTCATACTCTATCCATATTTCACAAACTCTAAATGCGTTATGAAATTAAAAGAAAAAATGGCCTTGTGTCCATAGTTGCTTTATAACTACATCCAGGAGAAATAGAATTGGTAGGAGGAAATGGAATAAAAATGTAAGGCAGTCTATGAAAAACACATGGCCCCCTTAAATTCTGACTAAGCTGTGCTCAAGTTCATAACCACCCAGCATCTGTACTATAAACCCCTCTCCTTAACCCCTAGTAGTACTGAAGGTTTGTCACCCATGTATGTTGTATGAGGTCAACCCTATCACCCTTCCCCACGTGCCTCACCTCTTTCTGCAGTGTGTTTGGAGTGTGACCACACAGTACTGCCCACAAGTGCAGGGATCTTCCTGTGGTAGTTTCACAGGGTGCCCATATACGTGCTCCAATGAGTTCTAATTAGAACAAGTCTGCTGGAGCTCTAGCATGCTGCAGTGTCACGCGTGTTCAGCGTCCCACATTTCAAAATGGTACTGGGGTGCTTTAACTAAAACTCTCTGAATGAGCTTTAGTTAAAGCGTCTGCAGCCATTTTGAAATGCAGGATGCTGAATACACGTGATGCTGTGGCATTTTAATTAGAGTACCTGTCCTGGAGCTGTTCTCATTAAAACAAACCCCCCCCCCCCCCCCAAGTTTCCTGTTCCTGTCTTCCTGCCTTCTGATGCCACTTCGTTTCTCTATTGCCTGTAAATAGAGACAAGCTCAAAGCAGGCTGGTTAGGGATGACCTCAGGGTAAGCCTTGCATTTGTGTAGATATGCCTTCACATAAAACCTGTTCTAAAGCAACATCTTGTTCTGTAAACTGCGACTTATCATTTGGAAATAAATTAGGCGGATATAGCAGTAATAATACTTGTCCTTTTACATAGCATTTCATCTGTAGATTTTGAATTCCTATATTAAAGGTACTCTTCTGAACAAAGTAGTGGGGTCAAAGCACCTGAATAACTCCAAAATGGAACTCTGTTTTAGGGAAGAAGAAATTGATTGGATCAATAAACAGAACATGATATGTGGATTCAAATATTTGCTGTCCCCATGTTAGGGTCCTCTTTATGGAAGAGGTATCTGGTAATCCAGTAGTTTAGGGCAGGGGTTATCAACTGGGGGTATGTTTACCCCCTAGGGGTACTTAGGCCATAGGGGGTACACGCAGGCAGGCAGGTGGGGACACAGTGTTCCCCAGGGTGCAGTGACAGCGTCTCCCCTGGAGCATTCCCATAGTTTGCTTTTTGCCCAGGGGAGGGGCGCACTGGGTGCTGCCAGCCCCACACAGCACACTGCAGTGCCTCCCCACCCTTCATCTCAGCTTGCTCTCTGTGCTCACTCCCAGGAGCAGGGCTGGGGGGTGAGGGCAGCGGTGCCCCTCTGCAGGCCGCACAGGCACCGCCCAGCTGGTGGGGGGCGGGGGACAGGGCTTTGCACACGGTGGCTGCCGCAGTCGTTACCACCTTGTGCTCGCGCCACTTTTCTATGACCTGTTGCACAGGCGGCTCACAATTGGCCAGGTGCAAGGCCAGTCAGCAGCCTGCAGAGCCACACGTGAAATGGACCATAGGAAAGCGGCATGGGTGCAGCAGTGGCAATGTGGGGCAGTGGGTGGTGGTGACAGCAGCGGCCACCATGTGCAAGCCGCGCCCCCCCCCCCCGGCTGGGTGGCCGGGCGGCACGTGTGGTTCTTAGAGGGGTGCCACTGCCCTTGCCCCCCTGGCCCTGGGAGTGGGAGTGGGCACAG